TTAATTAGGTCCCTGTAGTGTATTATTTTCCAGTGTACATGTACAAAGACAACCGTTATTTTTTCTGAGATTTAGTTGATATTGGGGACTGTTCTCAACAGTTTATGGTTTCAAATGGATTTTGGAATTATCTAGATTCCTTCCCCAATATGCTACATTTAAACACCTAGTCTATGGATTCTATAGGCACCCCAACCCTGGCATCCATCTTCAAAGATGCTGGGGAAACAAAATCTTATTTGAATCTATCTATATATATATATGGGGCAAAGAAGTAATTCCAACAGTGTGGACAAGTTTAGGTTGTCAAATTTTTGGTAAGATCCGCTCCCTTTTCAAGACACAGATAAAAGTCTGTAGATTCTTTATTACCGGGGTAGTACTTAATGCTTCTACATAAAACATACTTCGATAAATCCAGATGAAAGATAGTTGTGATTGATAGAGTCGATTTATACATTGGACCTTGAATGATTATCAGGCTTAAAGATTTATGTATAAAAGGTTTTAAATAGTATGTCAAACAAAAGAAGAATTGACTACTCAAAGACCTTATCACAACTGATGGAAGACCTTTGTAGTTTTTAGCGTTACTTTCCCAACAGTGCATTTTGTCGAAAAACTCTGAGTGTGGTTTCAGATAATTGCAGTGAAGTGGAAACAGTTGTCATATATAACAATAGATAATGTAGTTTTTAAGATAAAATGTGTCACTAATAGAATCAACATTTAGCTTTAGTATTTGATATTCATCACAAATTACAAGAACTAACCTAAACATATAGGTTAATATAGTGTAATGTCACAATGTAACCATAATGTAATATAAATTCATTACAATATAATTTCACGGCAACCTCTTACATAAGGCCTTCACATCATAATTGTAAAGTCTGTTGTCCTGAAGATGGCCCACATTGCGGGTCTAAACATGTTGACACCATACAGATTGTAAAACTGTTCTTATGGGTTCAGTATCCTTTATTCTTCATTATCTTTATACTTCACAACTCTGGACCCTTGTTATGATAAAGTCACAGTGTGAACTTGTTTTGCATACCAGTATGTCACATGTGGTGATCAGATTGAAAATCCATTTATAAATACTGAGTCAGGCCCCTAACGTTAACTGGACAAGAAAGGATGTCACAATACTTTATGATTACCCTTTATCATTTTATACTCGCAATATATATATTTCCCAGTTGAATTATGAAATTCTGCAGATATTACTTTACTGACATAATATAGATTTTGTCCAGAATGACAAATGTCTGATTTATGCAGCACCATTTTCTTGTAAAGCACAATAAAACTACTTGTGAGTAAATCAAATGCCAAGACCAGTCCTTGTGATCAGACACTTCAGACATCTAAAGGGTTGTCTCTATAAACAACTAGATCCAACTCATTAAACTGGTCTATTTCACATTATACAAAATGTACCTTTACATAGTGTACAGCCCCTGGCCCCTCCCAGGTTGACAAAGATGTCTCTTATGTTACTATGAATTGTTCTGGTACAGCCATTACATACTAGAGCTTTAGTGACAATCAGGCCCCTGTCTACATTATGTTTCCAGTCAGGTTCGTCCATTAAGTATTCCGACATCCTCTTGTGCTTCTTCTCTATGGAGCCCTCCGCTTCAGCACAATTTTCCTTGACAGGTAATTGACAAGGTACGGATGTGCCTTGAATAGTACATAATTCCTAGCTCTGACAGAGATGAATGAAATTTTAGATGAAACTTATTATCCCTGAGTCGGATGTGTCCTTCATTGGGAATTTCCAGCGGACAGGAAATAGATGGTGTTTACTGGCCGACAGTGTCTCCCTTTGGTCTCCACTGGACCTCATCCATACCGTGATTAAATGTAAATATGCTGACCCAGCAGGGATTTAGAACGATTAATGGAATATCTGCGTTTAAGGGCAGTAACGCTGTTGCACAGCAGAACTTAAAGAGTTCATTGGTATCAACTGATTCCAGATCACGAAGCTTAGTGTCCACTAATCAATGGATTGTGTCAGTAATAATGATACTTAAAGGTTGTCTAATATGTTTTGAAACACCGTAAATTGCCTGATACAATTTTTGTGTTGAAGAGAAATAAAGAATACATTCCCCACTGAGGAGAGGAGAATTCGACTATATTTTGCTATTGTATTATTTTACATTTTTCTGACATTTACTAGCTATTCATATACATATACTTTCACTTCCCAATATCATTTTGTCAGGGAATCCTCCATCAAAATGCCATCATTTAGATTATATGAAATATTTTTTTCCCATTAAAACAACAAACATTACTTGTATTACAACCCAGGTGACCGTTAATGCCCGAGGGGTCTATTGTCCATGAATATTATGTGTAAGCTTAAGGGGACCTTGCCGAGGCCATAACAGTTTGGCATTAATGTCAGCCTCAGTATGTTTCCTATGGTAGTTCAGCACCAGGTTATGAGTGACACATTAATGTAAGCCTCAGTATGTTTCCTATGGTAGTTCAGCAACAGGTTATGAGTGACACATTAATGTCAGCCTTAGTATGGTTCCTATGGTAGTTCAGCACCAGGTTATGAGAGACACATTAATGTCAGCCTCAGTATGTTTACTATGGTAGTTCAGCACCAGGTTATGAGTGACACATTAATGTAAGCCTCAGTATGTTTCCTATGGTAGTTCAGCACCAAGTCATGAGTGACACATTAATGTCAGCCTCAGTATGTTTCCTATGGCAGTTCAGCACCAGGTTATGAGTGACACAATAATGTCAGCCTCAGTATGTTTCCTATGGTAAATCAGCACCAGGTTATGAGTGACACATTAATGTCAGTTTCAGTATGTTTCCTATGGCAGTTCAGCACCAGGTTATGAGTGACACATTAATGACAGCCTCAGTATATATGTTTCCTATGGCAGTTCAGCACCAGGTTAAGAGTGACACATTAATGTCAGCCTCAGTATGTTTCCTATGGTAGTTCAGCACCAGGTTATGAGTGACACAATGCATCCTTCTTTGGTTTCCTTTATTTTGTTTGGTAAAAGGATCAAATATCAACAGAGTTCAGTGGTAGGTTTTAATGGCACAATAAAGTGGACAGGAAGAACGTCTAAATCCCTTACTAGGTTTCAGGTTTCCTGACTGGAGTTACATTCGTGACAATTTTTTTCATGCAGGGTTGCTTATAACAGCTATTTGAGCAGTAAAGAGTGCTATATATGTTTTATGATCATTAATAATAAAATCTGATCTTATTATGCGGGTTATTTTTCTACTGATTTGAAACTGTTTCTCGTGTTATCAGTAAGTGCCTCTGACCTGATCCTATTAGGTGGTGTTCTGTTAAGAATTTCTGCAAAAACTATAAAGCCTAAAGTTGAACTGGTTGGCCTTTTTATTTGCTGATATATGACCTTCGCCCACTTTCAAGGTTACAGGGGTCAGATGTGTTAACTCTATTGAAATACTTCTCTTTGTTGGATTTATAAACGAACAAAGTTTGTTAAACTGGCTATTCATCTTCCTGTAGTGATCAATGTGTTCATATCTGCCATGACAGAAGAAATTTATCTCAAGAAATTAATTAGAATGAAATGGTCTTGGTCAAGGGCTACTATGTGTAATTACCCATCCTACTGCTGTACACATGAACTGTAGACTGGTAATGCAGGCAAAACCAGTCATTTGGGCATGGAATAATCTGTTTTAATTTAATGGAAATAATTGATTAGTTTGATAATCATGAAAAATGTAATTGGTCTATAAATGGAATTCAATTTAATGCTGCATTCTTGATTAAAAACACAAAACCTTGATTGATTAAATTGATAGGAAATTTAAAATGCTTCATTGCCTGCTATTACACTGATTAAAAATGGAATAACCAATATTGTTGGATTAAATGATTATGAATTTCAGAGATTTATGAACAGGATCCATGTAATGGTTGCAAGTTAATCAAGTTAGACCTATAGCACATTCCCCCTCTCATTACAGTATAGATATATTGCCAAGGTCAGGATGTGACATCTCGTAGGTGATCATGCAGGTGTTGTATCCTCCAGTGCGACATAATCTGATGAGTACCAGGATGTAGACAATGTGTGGCATCTGACCTTCGGGTACATAGACAGAGAAACTACTTCTAAATTCTAACACATTACAGTTCTCACCAGCAAATTGTACAACCCAGTATGGTTTTAATGAAATTATTGATCAATACAATTATTTTGTCTGAAATCCGTTTCCACTGTTTCCAGTAAGTTTAGAATTATTTAAGCTAAAAAATGTTTGCACTGTTTCCAGTTAGTTTACAATTAAGTATGACATATTAGCCCATGATGACTCATTGAGTCCTAGCAATTATTTCCACCAGGTCCTAGTTACTCCCTATCTTGTAATACTCCTTTCTAGTAACACTTGCAATTGTCTGAGGTATTTTCCCCCCCTGAAATACTCGTAGTTAGCGATGTCCTAAGTTCTGAAACTTACTTGCTTCTCATTCAGACCGCAGGTAAATCTCTAATTTTTGCAAATATCTGCTAGCTATTGACATTTTCTAAGTTACCTTAAGCTAGGTACCTGTATACCAGCCTATATCTCTGTACTATAAGTCCTAAATTTTAAGAAAAAATCTCTGTACTATTAGCCCTATGACTTCAGACAATGTCTCTGTATTATCAGTCCTATATTTCAAGACATTGTCTCTGTATTGTCAGTCCTATATTTCAAGACATTGTCTCTATATTGTCAGTCCTTTATTTCAAGACATTGTCTCTATATTGTCAGTCCTATATTTCAAGACATTGTCTCTGTATTATCAGTCCTATATTTCAAGACATTGTCTCTGTATATTATCAGGCATTATATCTTGATAATATGTCTGTACATTAAAACATTGTCTCGGAATATATGATTTATTTTCAAGACAATGTTCCTGTATTCTGTAGAAACACAATCCTATATTTAAATCACACATTTTTACCTTACAGTATTGTGCTATCCAATAGATGACAGCCAGTCAGGGAGATGCATCGCTCTCATTGTGGTAAGTGCAATGTTACACTATGATAATCTCTTAAAATCACAGAAATGTATACTGAGCGGCAGGTATTGCTTTAAAACATTTGCCTTATAATTACTCCTTTTGAAGCATAGAAATGAAAACGTACTCTATCATTTTCAATACAGTACTCACATGGCAAATAAACAACTGGATCTGACATTCGTCAGAAGGATCACTTACCCAATGCACACCCTTAAGCTCTTATTATGGTAAGTTATCTCTCAAATGACTTCTGTACAAAACCAGAGATTAATGAATAATTAAGTCACCTGAAGGAGTTGCAACCAACTGTTTTTGAACAATGCAGATCTGATATCTAAAATAACCATTGTAGATTCTGACTGGCTTAGACATTTATAGGGCTCAACCTTTTTTTTTGAACAACGTTCATTTTTTGTGGGATTAACATTAAAGGGTTATGACTTTGATCTTAAGACCGGCTTTCAAATTTCTGGAGTCAAAATAGCTGCCATGGTCTGAGATTAGCCTGAACATTTACAGACATATATCTTGTTTCTATTTGGTTGCTTTAAGTGTTTCTTGGCGAAGTTAGACCTGTCACAAACCTGCATATTCGTGCCTGGATGTTTAAAGTTTGTAAGTCCGTCTTAGGCCTTGTTTATTGCGGTAAATAGTAATCTCAATCATCTTAAACCAGAAAACAGGCAACAGTCTTTGGCGCTTCATACATTATGGTTGTTAATTATATAGAAGTCACAGTGTATGGATATTTCATATGCTTCAGCAGTATAAACATTCTTTCCTTATCTTTAAGGTCAAAGAAAAGTTAAGTCTGCTTTGCTGTCATACAAAAGGTTCATAGATCAATCATTTCCATATATGTTCTAAATCTTATAACATATCTGTCAGACCATGCATCACATAGAGAAGACCAGTGGCTTCAGCAGATTGGAGCCTATTTATGATCCTGTGGTGACATTTCAGTAGAGTTATCTTGAACCTGGAACATGTATGATAGGGAATAGAAGGGATGATAATGGAGGACTGATATAATGTCTTGTCAGTGCAATAACACCAGTGATTATAATGGTAAAAATATCAATATGGTTTTATTGACAGTGAGTCTAGCTGAAAAGCTGATACTGTCATTGCTGTATCAGATACATAAATGGAATCATGTGTTTGTCGGGGGTAGAACCTTGTGTCCTGTATTGTGTGGTACTACCTGTGTTTGTCTGTGTTATTCTATGTTTGTCTGGGGTAGAACCTTGTGTCCTGTATTGTGTGGTACTTCCTGTGTTTGTCTGTGTTATTCTGTGTTTATCTGGGGTAGAACCTTGTGTCCTGTATTGTGTGGTACTACCTGTGTTTGTCTGGGAAAGAGGCTTGTTTTGTGTGTTGTGTGGTCCTCCCTGTGTTTGTCTGGGGTAGAACCTTGTGTCCTGTATTGTGTGGTACTACATGTGTTTGTCTGGGATAGAGGCTTGTTTTGTGTGTTGTGTGGTCCTCCCTGTGTTTGTCTGGGGTAAAACCTTGTGTCCTGTATTGTGCGGTACTACCTGTGTTTGTCTGGGATAGAAACCGGTGTCCCTTATTGTGTGGTACTTCCTGTGGTTGTCTGGGGTAGAACCTTGTGTCCTGTATTGTGTGGTACTTCCTGTGTTTGTCTGGGGTATAACCTTGTGTCATGTATTGTGTGGTACTACCTGTGTTTGTCTGGGGTAGAACCTTGTGTCCTGTATTGTGTGGCACTACCTTTGTTTGTCTGGGGTAGAACCTTGGGTCATGTATTGTGTGGTACTTCCTGTGTTTGCCTGAGGTAGAACCTTGTGTCCTGTATTGTGTGGTACTACCTGTGTTTGTCTGGGGCAGAACCTTGTGTCCTGTATTGTGTGGCACTTCCTGTGTTTGTCTGGGGTAGAACCTTGTGTCTTGTATTGTGTGGTACTTCCTGTGTTTGTCTGGGATAGAGGCTTTTGTTGTGTGTTGTGTGGTACTTCCTGTGTTTGTCTTAGGAAGAACCTTGTGTCCTGTATTGTGTGGTACTACCTGTGTTTGCCTGGGATAGATGCTTGTTTTGTGTGTTGGGTGGTACTTTCTGTGTTTGTCTGGGGTAGAAACCGGGGTCCCTTATTGTGTGGTACTACCTGTGGTTGTCTGGGGTATAACCTTGGGTCATGTATTGTGTGGTACTTCCTGTGTTTGCCTGGGGTAGAACCTTGTGTCCTGTATTGTGTGGTACTACCTGTGTTTGCCTGGGATAGATGCTTGTTTTGTGTGTTGTGTGGTACTTTCTGTGTTTGTCTGGGGTAGAAACCGGTGTCCCTTATTGTGTGGTACTACCTGTGGTTGTCTGGGGTATAACCTTGGGTCATGTATTGTGTGGTACTTCCTGTGTTTGCCTGGGGTAGAACCTTGTGTCCTGTATTGTGTGGTAATTCCTGTGTTTGTCTGGGGTAGAACCTTGTGTCCTGTATTGTGAAGTACTTTCTGTGTTAATCTGGGGTAGAACCTTGTGTCCTGTATTGCGAAGTACTTTCTGTGTTTATCTGGGGTAGAACCTTGTGGCCTGTATTGTGTGGTACTTTCTGTGTTTGCCTGGGGTAGAACCTTGTGTCCTGTATTGTGCTCAGATACATAAATGGAATCATGTGTTTGTCGGGGGTAGAACCTTGTGTCCTGTATTGTGTGGTAATTACTGTGTTTGTCTGGGGTAGAACCTTGTGTCGTTGTCTGGGGGAGAACCTTGTGTCCTGTATTGTGTGGTACTACCTGTGTTGACTGGGGTATAACCTTATGTCCTGTATTGTGTGGTACTTCCTGTGTTTGTCTTGAGTATAACCTTGTGTCATGTATTGTGTGGTACTACCTGTGTTTGTCTGGAGTAGAACCTTGTGTCCTGTATTGTGAAGTACTTTCTGTGTTAATCTGGGGTAGAACCTTGTGTCCTGTATTGCGAAGTACTTTCTGTGTTTATCTGGGGTAGAACCTTGTGGCCTGTATTGTGTGGTACTTTCTGTGTTTGTCTGGGGTAGAAACCGGTGTCCCTTATTGTGTGGTACTACCTGTGGTTGTCTGGGGTATAACCATGGGTCATGTATTGTGTGGTACTTCCTGTGTTTGCCTGGGGTAGAGCCTTGTGTCCTGTATTGTGTGGTACTACCTGTGTTTGCCTGGGATAGATGCTTGTTTTGTGTGTTGTGTGGTACTTTCTGTGTTTGTCTGGGGTATAACCTTGTGTCCTGTATTGTGTGGTACTTCCTGTGTTTGTCTGGGTTAGAACCTTGTGTCCTGTATTGTGTGGCACTACCTGTGTTTGTCTGGTGTAGAACCTTGGGTCCTGTATTGTGCGGTACCTCCTGTGTTTGTCTGGGGTAAAACCTTGTGTCCTGTATTGTGCGTTACCTCCTGTGTGTGTCTGGGGTAGAACCTTGTGTCCTGTATTGCGAAGTACTTTCTGAGTTTATCTGGGGTAGAACCTTGTGTCCTGTATTGCGAAGTACTTTCTGTGTTTATCTGGGGTAGAACCTTGTGGCCTGTATTGTGTGGTACTTTCTGTGTTTGTCGGGGGTATAACCTTGTGTCCTGAATTGTGGGGTACTTTCTGTGTTTGTCTGGGGTAGAAACCGGTGTCCCTTATTGTGTGGTACTACCTGTGGTTGTCTGGGGTACAACCTTGGGTCATGTATTGTGTGGTACTTCCTGTGCTTGCCTGGGGTAGAACCTTGTGTCCTGTATTGTGTGATACTACCTGTGTTTGTCTGGGGTAGAACCTTGGGCCCTGGATTGTGCGGTACCTCCTGTGTTTGTCTGGGGTAAAACCTTGTGTCCTGTATTGTGCGGTACCTTCTGTGTTTGTCTGGGGTAGAACCTTGTGTCGTTGTCTGGGGGAGAACCTTGTGTCCTGTATTGTGTGGTACTGCCTGTGTTGACTGGAGTATAACCTTATGTCCTGTATTGTGTGGTACTACCTGTGTTTGTCGGGGGTAAAACCTTATGTCCTGTATTGTGTGGTACTACCTGTGTTTGTCTGGGGTAGAACCTTGTGTCCTGTATTGTGTGGTACTACCTGTGTTTGTCGGGGGTATAACCTTGTGTCCTGTATTGTGTGGTACTACCTGTGTTTGTCTGGGGTAGAACCTTGGGCCCTGGATTGTGCGGTACCTCCTGTGTTTGTCTGGGGTAGAACCTTGTGTCCTGTATTGTGTGGTACTTTCTGTGTTTTTCTGGGTTATTTTATAATGGGCAGTTACAATTGTTTACCACTGCCTTCCCATTGACTCATGCAGTATTATTTTCATGTCTTTTAGAGTCAGACAGTTGGCTATAAATGGTCATAAAACGTTGTAAAACCGTTTTTCAGGTATAAAGAATTTTATGAAAATTCTGATAGATGAAAGTTTAAACAGTTCGCTTTAAATAAAAGGCTGTGGATATGAATAATACATTTCACAGCAGACACCACATTTCAACATATGTAAACAGTTTGAAATATTTATACACTGCACTTGAGGTATTTCAAACTAGTTTTGTCCTACAACAGAAATTATCTAACTATACCACCAAAGGGTAGGCTCAAAAATTGTCTCTTAATAACAGAAATGGTCGCTTAATATATTGTTAATAATCAATAATGTATAACATGAAATGTTCGTTGTGTATAAACAATAATGGTTTCCATGGAGGCTCCGTATACGGAACTACGAAAATAAATACAACAAATTTGATTGATATACTTTACTACTCTTTGTTTGTATTGGGAATCCACGAAAGTTTATACCACATCTTCAAGCCACGAAAGATATACATGTTATACCAATGACCATTTCATGTTATACTGTAGAGTAATCTGCTTAGTGGGGATGAGGGCGTGGCATTATAGGGGTGACCTCTGAAGCAGATTCGTCTGTATATCTATTGCCAACTTGATGTAATAGTCTTAATCATGAAACAGTTATAATGTTTATCCACAATGTTAATTTTAGAGGAACATCAATATGACCTGATATCAGTTGAATTCATGAGGACAACTTTTCTAAAATGAACAATTTGGCCATTGCCATTTATTTTCATGAAAAATAATTAATGAAAAAATGTCCCCATAATCTATGTTCTAGTATCTCATACTGCTTGAGATGTGTTAATACTTCCTAACAGCCTTTGTTAGGTTCTCCTGCTGTGTAGAAGTAGGAAAGCTGCCTATCAGTGCCAGCACAATGACCATCCATACAACCTACATTGTATACATAAATATTGGCGGGACAAAATGCTAACTAGGCACTGCAACATGTCATCTAGGATATATAAAAACTTCCCTTACCTATATATATATGATATATAAATGAGGATTGGTGAATTACTGGGTATAAGGATTCATAAACAGTTTTGTAGACAATTTTCTTGGTAAAGAAACTTCAAGAGTATGTTGGGGCAGCAACAGCGCTAAGTGCTCTATTAGATAAGTGGTTATGTGACACGGTGTCCCAGGGGAAATCATGTCTGGTGTATTTGTTAGAAATGCCATCACTTCCAGTGCAGCCTGGCCACTATGCACATCTTAGGGAGTTGGTGGATACACGAGGTTTTTCTGATCAATTTGTATACTTTGTCATCAATCTTTATCATTGACACAGCTTAAAGTACATTGGTAGACTAAAGGAAGGTCCCAGCGCTGATACAACTGCCTATTGTGAAACTTTATATTATAGAAATCGAAAGATACAATTTGTAGGCCGATAGGTCAGTATTTTTCTGAAAATAGCACAAAAGTAAATATTTGATACATTTGCAGCTTCGAGCAGAGAGAAATAGACTAAACCAAACTTAATTGATGTATTGAGACAATCAATGATATCCCTACTTCCCTATAGATATATTATATTTACTTAAACTCTACAAGTGTGGTCTGTAGCAGCTAGATCTAAACTCTACCAGTGTGGTCTGTAGCAGCTAGATCTAAACTCTACATGTGTGGTCTGTAGCAGCTAGATCTAGACTCTACAAGTGTGGTCTGTACCAGCTGGATCTAGACTCTACAAGTGTGGTCTGAAGCAGCTAGATCTAGACCCTACAAGTGTGGTCTGAAGCAGCTAGATCTAGACTCTACAAGTGTGGTCTGTAGCAGCTAGATCTAGACTACAAGTGTGGTCTGTAGCAGCTAGATCTAAACTCTACAAGTGTGGTCTGTAGCAGCTAGATCTAGACTCTACAAGTGCGGTCTGTAGCAGCTAGATCTAGACTCTACAAGTGTGGTCTGTAGCAGCTAGTTTACCATGAAACAAAATCTTACATTTGCTTTCTTTCATGGTAAACCATTTTCTAGTTTGTTTCATAGTAAATGTACAAACTACAGCATAAGACATCAAAGTGTACAATGTTATTAGTACAGTGAAGTGCACGTGCTGTAGGGTGCATGATTTATTACAATTTGATCATAGCAGCATACAGCTGTTACAATTCAGTAAAAACACTTTCTTATGTGAACAGTATACGGGAGTAAATTATAAGTTGGTGTGATATTGTCTCGTTACAGGTTGGCAGTAATTTTGGTGAGGAGATTGACGCACACAGTCTCATGCCACTGGCTGAACAGGTAAACCTCATAATCCCACCCACTGCTGTCATAGACGTGATTAGTTGTGGAAGCAATTAAGCAATTATCCTTTCCATTTTAATACACATTGTGTGGTTCATGCTAACAAGCCATTGCTAGCTATTTTAATCAATGTGTACAAGCTAAGATAATTCTGAAAATAATGCTGTCCCATTGTCAAGCAGAAAAGTAGCAAGGCCTTTTTGACAGAACTGCCTGCTTCTATTTCTGTTCTCACTCTCAATATAATCTTATCTGCCGATATCACCAATTTACATAGATGATTTTGAAATATACAATAAAACACATGTTATATATTTTTCATTAATGGCTAACAAGGTTGTCATAGAAGCACTTAGGCAACAGATTTAATGCCATTTCTTGACAAATGTTTTGAAGCTTTGAAAGGCGTTTTCTGCTGTTGCTTTAATGTTGTTCACATTTGCATTAGTTCATTAGAAATAGTCAGGATATCAATAGTTTCTGTTGGAAATAGTAAAGAATTGTCAGAGAACTGTGGATCGTTTCCTGGTGTCAGAGTCGTCCACAGTCATAGGTTGGTGGAGTTCAGGACACTTTGGACAGAAGGGGGGGGTATTGAGTTGTGGATGTGTCCAGGGGCAGAGATTCAGTTTTTATTTATTTCAATATGTATGAAGATGTTACAATTTTTTTTGAAAATAAGAAGGTTTTAACATGTATGTTGTACAACATTACACTGTTGCAATACCGGTAAGCTATTTAACACAACTGCATACACTATCATGTGTACTGCATCATTGTAACTGTCAGTAATTATTAGTTGTGCGGGTTTTGATTAGCTGTGTATAGAGTATTACTTAGTGGATCAAAAGTGAACGCTATGTGCCTTAAAACTGTTGATACTATAGTAGTTTTTGTTCTCCAGAGATTTTAACTTAAGAATTATGTTTGAGGCTAATCACTTAGATACTGTGAGTTCTGTGACATATCTGATACATTAATTATATTTCATAACACCCTTCGGGCAGGTGAGCTGATGTGATGGCCAGACCTGCTAACCCCTGAATCTCCCAATGGGGGTCATGACCCCCATTGGGAAATTCTGTGGGGGGTGATAACGCCCGACAAAAAAATCATGTCAGAATTAATCATTTAATTTTTGCGCCGTCACAGCATAACATATGTTGTGTCTTCTGGTAGGATTCAGGACCTTTTTTTTTAAATAAATAAAACAAATCTTTTCACACATTTTGTTTTATTACATTCTCTCTTTTCAAAATACTTATTTCCATGTACATACAGGTAGTTTCAGTTAATTGTAGAAAACTTTACATCTTTCATCATTAACACATACTGGGAGCATGAACTCATCTAGAAGCTCCTCTATCTATTTCTCTCTCTCATCTTTATGTACTACATTGGGAATCTGACTGCCTGCAGGTTGGAAACTGGAAAAAAAATAAAAATATATGCATTTAATGTTTAATACAGGTATTTATAATATTGTTATAATAATATCTTGGTACACTCAGATTTGTACGACTGCAACAAATGTTAAAGCAATCTCGCGTTCGATATCGGGAAGCATTATCATGCAGATTTTGGTAAATTAAAATAATCATGATCTGCTGTTGAGAAAGTAATGTGCTCAGAATTTAAGCTACTAAATAACGACTTTGCGTTTATAACCTTGTCGTCACAGTTCTGTTGATGTAATAAAGAGCACCCAAACCTACCCAAAGAATTTAGGTATACAGTAGAGTACAGTTTACAATAAGAATGATCGATGGGGCTCAACATTTTTTTTATGAAGCCACTCAAAATCATTTGTCCACGAAGTATTGTTATAGCAGACATACTTATATTTTTTTTTAAACTTTTAACGCAGTCCAGATTACGGTTGTGCATGTGAAGTGAAAGTACTACGATCAGGATTCCATGCACTGTTGTAATACTGAAGTAAACAGTACTCACCTTTCAAATTTGCCTGGCTTCCACGAAAGAGAGACCGCAATTGTGAAAACATTTTGAATTTTGTACAGAATGAACTTTGGCTAATTTTGTTAAGGAACACCACTTTGATGAAAGGACTTGGTGTTGTTTAAATAGAATTTATGACCCCTCTTGAAACTGAAAAGCTGGGCCCAATAAGGGTTAATATTTAAAAGGCCCGCCCTTCAGTACGGTCGAAAGAGATTCTAACTTAATTTTGAGTTAAAGATTACAGCCTTGTTTAAATCCCAAAGCATATGGGTTTTTGATATTGATTTTATTAGTTACAAATATTTACAAGTATTAGGGGTTGAAATTTTATCTTTAAGTATTGTTGAACTATTGAAGTTTCATAGATCTGGGTACAGGGGCTAGTGGCTCAGAGCCTGATTAGCTAAAAGCTCCCTGTCACGTACACTGCAGGCAATCACTAGAGAATTCTAGATCTACTGTAGATTTTTTCCCCGTATATATACAGTAACCTTCTCTTCATTTCACTGTAGATGAAGTAATAGGTTGTCTGGAGCCGAGTACTACTGGAGCTGATCTAGTAGTACTACTAGAAATCTGGTTCTGTTACGAAGTTTACAAATGGAAATAAATCTACTTAAAACCATTGACCTACATATATTTAGGATGAAAAGTGTTATCTAGGAATATTCATAGGATTTGTTACAAAATTCCTGCCTGCTTCCAGCTTGTATTTACTTTGATATTTGATATTTTGATATATGTACCATATTTGACATACCGTAAAATTGCGGGTATAGTGCGCACTCGGGTATAGTGCACAGGTACGTTTTTGGGGTCAGATTTTTTTTTTTTTATTGAAAATAAAAATCCTAAAAATAAACGGTATCAAACAGGAAAAGTAGCGTCAAAGTTAGCTTGGTGTTTATAACGCCGATTAATTAACGATTGATTGATTGGAGTCAACAAGCCTCCCTCCGTACCGCTTGGAACGAGTGGATGATGGACGAATCCTGCAGAAACCAAACGAAGGAAGTGTAGCCAATTCCGATGCCAGAGAATTGCCGATCAACTTATATTTGTTTTAATTAAAGGCTCCGTTCCATGTTAGTTCTGGTTTTTAGCTCACCTGCCCGAAGGGCAAGTGAGCTTATGCCATGGTGCGGCGTCCGTCGTCCGTCTGTCCGTCTGTCTGGCGTTAACTTTTTACTTTAAACAACTTCTTCTCAGTAACCAAAAGGCCTAGGATGATGATATTTGGCCAGTAGCATACTGGAATCAAGGGCTACCAAGTTTGTTCAAATAAATGACCTTGACCCACTTCCAAGGCCACAGGGGTCAAATATATTAAAATCTTCAAACAACTTCTTCTCAATAACCAAAAAGCCCAGAGTACTTATATTGGGCCTGTAGCATGCTGGGATGAAGTGCTACCTAGTTTGTTCAAATGAATGACCTTGATCCACTTTCAAGGTCACTGGGGTCAAATGTCATAGGCCTGTAGCATGCTGGGATGAAGGACTATCAAGTTTGTTCAAATGAATGACCTTGACCCACTTTCAAGGTCACAGGGGTCAAATATGTTAAAATCTTCAAATGACTTCTTCTCAATAACCAAATGGCCCAATGTACTGGTATTGGGCCTGTAGCATGATGGGATGAAGGGCTACCAAGTGTTTTCAAATGAATGACCTTGACCCAGTTTCAAGGTCACTGGGGTCAGATGTCTTAAAATCTTCAAACAACTTCTTCTCAATAACCAAAAGGCCCAGGGTTCTGATATTGGGCCTGTAGCATGCTGGGATGAAGGACTACCAAGTTTGTTCAAATGAATGACCTTGACCAACTTTCAAGGTGACAGGGGTCAAATGTCTTAAAATCTTCAAACAAGCTCTTCTCAATAACCAAAAGGCCCAGGGTACTGATATTGGGCCTGTATTTCAACCTAATGTCCTTGTTCGACATTCAAGGTCACAGGCGTCATATGTTTAAATCTTTTGATAGGTTCTTATGAATCAAACACTGATATTCTGCCCGTAGCTGTTACTTTTAGTCCACTTTTACGATTACAAGTGTGAGATTAATACCAGGTGAGCGATGCAGGCCCATTGGGCCTCTTGTTTTACCAAATCGCTAAGCCTAGTGTGCATGTTTTTTCCTGGCCCACTTTCATGTTGACGTCATCGATAACCTCGTGATAGAGTATTAGCTTAAATTACTGCATTGTAATTTGTAATTACTGTGGTGTTGAGACGTGTCAATAATTTTCGCTGAAGCATGGCGATCCTACCTAGCCTAATGTCCAGGATCAGACGGTGGTTATATGCCCTCCGGTCAACTTACCTGTAAAAATGGTACCTGTGCCCAGCTAGTGTTTGTCGCCTAATCAGCAGTCATGACCACAGATTACCGATTTTAATCATTTTAGAGAAGGTAAAAATTGTGTCGCCAAAGAATTTCATTATTTGTTGTTTTTTAATCTTCAATCTTATCATATATGACCGACGACTCCAAATAAAACTATTTGAAGGGAGGTAATCCAATATGGCGGACCAGAAACTCGAGAACGATAACCCAAGAATGACTTGTTCCTGCGTATAGTGCGCACCCCCTTTATGACATGACAATATTTACCTAAAAAAGTGCACACTATATGCGCAAATTTCCAGTAATATAAAATAAATACCAGTTGAGCTTTAACTCATTCACCCCTGAAGACATATATGAACTCTTCCAATTCAATGGTTGGAATAGTTTATTATGAAATTTCAGGGGTGAATGAGTGACAATTAAAATGCCCATGGGTCCTTGTTTATGCAATGGTGTATTTTTTTCTATAATTAGAACAGTTATTTTGCAGCATATAATGACCGTTATGAGTTGCCACTATCATTATATGAAATGATGACATGCCGTATTGTGATATAAACAATTTACCAGATCATTTTCATTCATATCTTTAATAGGATTGGCAGCGAATTTCATAGGACTTAGAGAAAACTATATGTATCTTGGTAAATTATGAAACAGTTGGCATTGACTTCAAGTATGCACTG